GAAAATTCAACAGAAAACTTCAGCAACTAAGGTACGACTCTAAAAGTTCCCTGTTGAATTTTCAATTTTAAGATGTCAGCTGTTTGTTAGATTGTCAAATTGCCAGTCTGTGTTTACCAAAAATTATGTTTAAAATTAAGGAAAATGCCCAGAATAAGCCAACCCTAAGAGAATCTAGTACACCCTTTTACTCTACGAGTAACGGGTATAATAATCAATATTGTTTTAAAGGGGCCTTGATTTCTGCCTTAACAGTTGTCAAAAATCTACAAAGATGTTCGGCATATAATATTAACATATCGCTGGAGATATTTCGTTTAAGTGATGAAATAAAATAGCAATACTCATATGACCTTAAATGTTTTCGGATATAATAAAGACACGAAGGAAATAATTGGACCACTTTTTAAATCGGAAGTGAAAGAACCTCTTCATATCAATAGATTTATTTGAAAGACGGTGGAAATGGACAGTATATGCACATTAAAAATATTTCAAGGTAAATTTTTTTATTAATTTTTATCTCTTTTAAGCAATTAAATAATTTGTAAATATTTCTGTTTCAAAGACTAATGACTGCTCAAAGAGGAATTCAGAGCAGGGCGCAATTCTTCTGCAATGTTTGTTTAAATTTTTCCGGAACCCAGGAAGCTGCATTGAAACACGAAACTCTCTGTAGTAGGAAGGTCTCATAGATGCCGCACCCCCAGAACAATACACTGGAATTAACCCAAATTCAACATCAGCTTCAAGTTCCGTTCGTTGTCTATGCGGATTTTGAATGCATTCTGGAACCAAGATATTTACTATTATTGAACATATCCCAATATCATAAGCTTTTTATATAAAGTGTGCCTTTGATTCTAGACTAAATAAATTTGTTTTGTAAACAAGAAAAAATTGGTTTATAAAAACTTAACTAAATTGAGTGCTGAGTACTTACATAAAATAAAAGTTCCTATGAGATTGACTTTGGATGACCAGCAAATATTTGATAGTTCATTGAATTGTTCCATTTGTCATAAAGCTTTAGGGACTGATAGGGTAAGAGATTCCCGGTGAAATTTCCGTATTACCATTAAATAAGGAAAAGTATATTTCTTTCTCAGAAAACGTGAAATGCCTAAGGGGAAACAGTTTTGAAATTCGTTTCCTCGATACAAATAGATTCTAATTTAGTTGATGATCAATTGAAAACTGTAAAGTCATTTTTCAGTAATGATATAGAATTTTGACTAACGCGTAAGAAGGGTATATTTCCCTATGAATATTTAGATTCCGCTAGTAGACTTGAGGAAACTTCCATCCCATCATAGTAATTTAACGGAAAGGGAATGCTCTCAGGAACGTTATGATCAAGCTCTTAAAGTTTGGTCGCATTTCTCATGTTCCACTCTTAAAGATTATTTCGAATTATATTTGAAAACTGATGTATTCCTTTTAACCGTCATTTTTAAAAACTTCCGAAAAATTTGTATGCAAATTTATTTCCTTGACCCAGCGTATTTTACGAAATCAGGTCTATCTTGGGAGGCAATGTTGAAAACTACAAATATTCAACTTAAATTCTGGACAGTTATAGATATGTATAGATTTATTTAAAGTAGCATTCGAGGTAAATATTTGTCAGATTATGATTCCTCGGAGGAGTCTTCATTTTTAATGTATGTGATTGCAAATAACTTGTTTGGTTGGGCAATGTCGCAACCTTTACCATATAAAGACTTTAAGTGGATGTCTACTACAGACATAGACAATTTTGATATTCAAAATATTCCATTTGATAGCAAATACGGTTATTTTTTGGAAGTAATCTGGCCTCAAAAGAGATAAGGTAAAAAAGTTAACTGCTGACTTGGGAAATAAGAAAAATTATGTAATACATTATCGGAATTTGCAACAATGTATACAGAATGAGTTAGTACTGAAAAAGATCCATAGAGGTGCTCAGTTCTTACAAAAGCCTTGGATAAAGAATTACATTGATCTAAATACTTTACATAGGCAAAATGCAAAAAATAAATCTTAAAAAGATGATTTAAGAAGATTTAATGAATAATTCTGTTTACGGAAAAACAATGGAAGATCCCGAGCGCAGGGTCGTTAGTACACGGGAAGCTTATTTTAAAAATCCAATTTTCATAGTGCCACTAAAATTAATGATTATTTTTGCAATGTAAAGATTGTCCGTTCTATTTAATTAGCCAATGAATTTAGGAATTGCAGAAGTATATATGAAGCCAAAATTTTAGGAAAAGTTATTCTTTAATTATATGGATACTGATTCATTTATCAATACAATAAAAACTGAGGATTTTTGTAAAGATATTCGTAAAGATCTTAGGGCAAAATTTGATACATCGAACTATTCAGATGATGGAATTAATTTGTATTACTTCAAAAGAATTGAAAAAAAAAGTTTAGCGTTTTTTAAAGATGAGCTTAACAGTAAACTTATGACAGAGTTTGTAGGCCTGTGCTCAAAGGCTTATTGTTATAGAATAGATCAAGTTGAATCTTCATATAATAAAGCAAGGGGAGCGATTTTTAGATGTAAGTAATGAAGACCATGTTACAACATCAATAAAACACCAGAGATTAATTGAAAAAGATATTTTAGAATAATTAGATAGCCCTAAATTTCAAAAGGAACATATTGAAAAAGAACTCTTTTGTAAATCATTTGAATTGGAAATGTTTTATTATAATCGAGACTGGGAAATATAAATAAAAATGATTTTGAGTTTGTAAAAAATATATATTTATTATTTTTCCTTTTTTAAGTAAACATTGTACAAAAATATTAATATTAAACTTAATATAAGATAAGATATGGATATAAATAGAAATTAATGAAATAAATCATTTGTTATACTATAAAATGTCTTCCTTATTTATCCAGCTAGTCATTGAAAACCCCACTTAACCAAAACTTTATTTCCTTTTCGCCTTACAACTTTTTGAACTAGGTACATGTGGGGGAATCGTGTTTTTTTGAAGGTTGAATAATGATTAATCTTCATTAATACCTTAAATTTCGAATTAAAGAATTCAGTGTCATGATCAGCTTGCAGGTTACATACTCTCTACATGGCTTGAGAAAAATCACTTGCATTTTTCGATTTTAATGCGTCACCCCAAGCAAATTTGGAAAATAAGTCTATAACAGTCAACAAGTACCGGTACCCGTCATTAGATTTTGAAAAGGCTCCCATTTAAACGATTTCACGCTTAATCATATTCTTCTAATAGGCTGAAAAGCCACATCTTCTAACTCAATTGTGTTTTTTTCGGTAATGTTATCGATTTTGTTAATATATAAGAATATAGTCATCAATGGTTTTAATCTTTTACAGAATTTTGGCAAAAATTTGGTCAGCGCTATCTGCCCTCTTATTATACAATTCAATTTTATTTAATAAGCTTGAATTTTTCGTGAGTCGACGATTAATATTTTGAGTTATAACTTTTTTTAAATCGTCTCCCAACTTTCCAATGTTCTCATCAGTATATTGTTTCGTTTCTAGACCATCGTTGTCTTAAGGTTTAGTTCCGTTTTTGATACGTTTATTTTGGGCATTTAGATTACCGTCCTCATCGATGAATAATCCCTCAGAAGACTTAACACGTCTTTTCAAATTTTCTGATCGCTCCTTATCAACAGAAAAATGTCCAAACTTTTCGACAGACATGAAGTTTATAAATGTAAAATATATTTTCCCTTTCTATTTATACTCATTAAAATATAATCCATTCCTCACGCAATTCCTCTAGAATTGAAAAAATATCATTGTTCTGACTGGCTGCTTTTGATGCTACCAAAATGTTCAATCGTTCAACTAATTCATTTACATCATTCCAATATACATAGTTTAGTTTTGGTTTCTGAAGAGTCATATAACCAAACCCTGTGTTTGAGCGAAATGGAGTAAAAATTGTAGGTTTGAAATCTTTGTCTATCAACTTCTTAATAATATGACTATATTTTTATGCTTGTGTACCCTTGTTTCGGTTATTAGGCTTAAAGCCTACTCTATGTATCTTCGTTTCTAAAATAATTTTTTTATACATTTTCAAGTATTGTTTTCAGGTTTACCAAGAAAAATTAGAGAGTACAGACCATGTAACGAACCGATACACCTATAAAAAAATTCTAGGCTAGATGTCATTTCGAGATTCCAGCGCACGCGACAAAAGCATGCCCAAACACACGTTTCGGGAACGTATTACGAAAGAAATAGTTCTAGGTCGTATCTTTTTTACGCAAAACAGCACGCATGCAAATTTAACTAGCAACTGTGCGTGCTGGGGGCAGTCTTTTGGATGCCATCTGGGTGTATTTCAATATAGTGCATCCAGGTGTATTTTAGTGGCAATGTAAAAAAACCAAACTCAACCCCGAAGGTTGCCGATTCCCATTTTTTTACAATCGTCTTTTTCGGTAAAACCGAATGTATGTTTTCTGTACACATATGAAACTGTCAAGAATTCTTAGCACCTCTAGTTTCGTAAAATAAAATTTATTTACGTAACAACAAAAATTGGTGGTAAATATTTTTAATTTCCAATTTTGTTTTACGGCAATAAAAATTTTAGATTTACAATAATGTAAACTTTGCTGTTATATATTATAATATGTTTGCTGTACGTAGCCTCGATGCTAGATTTTTTCCCGCCACTGTAATAGAAGCAAGCATAGGCCAAACAAACGGTACTCTTGAAAAGCAAACGAAAAAGACAAAAGGGAACATGCAAGGAAGCGCGCGGTTTTTCTCGCCTCTTGCATTTCTCGCCACTTGCTGATTTCATTTGAAAGAGTAAAGTTCAGCCACAAGTGTTATTACAAAATTACCAAATTTTTTACCAACCAACCTTAAATCATTCTTTTCCCAGGTAAGTAAAGTGTAGTTAGTGAAGTGAGAAATTAAACAAATTTACTAAAAACTTAAATGTGATTGCACATACTTATGTATTTAGAATGCAATTTCATACATACATACACATGTAAGATGAGAAATACTCTCACTTGACCTTTGTTATAGTGATATATATTAAGTATTATGGTTAACAACAATAATTGCAGGATATTTTCCGCGTTTCGGCTTTTCTTAAAGTATCGTTCGGGTTTCTATTTTTCCACTCTGCTGCTGAATATCGACTCTCTCGGCTGACTGTCACTTCCCGAATGAACTCGTCCGACTTTTACTGCTCTTGCTCTGCTTCTCTCCTCTCTTGTCGCTCTGCTTTTAATTCTGCTGGTTATCTTACTCAACCGTCTTACATTCGGCCATTCCTGACTAATCATCTGTCCCAGATGACCAATCATCCGCATTGTCCTGGACATATCGCCACAGCTTCATATAATCACAACTGGTGAACGTGTTAGATGGGCCTTCAAAGTCTGCTGCCGTTTTCCTTCATATGTTCTGCAAACGAGTTGGCCGTGAAAGCGGAGCCTCTGTCCGAAACTATCCGCACAGAGTTGCCAAAAATTTCCGACCAAATCCTTAACTTCTTCAACGTTTCCTCGCAGCTTGTAGTTTTCGTTGGGAACAGCCAAATAAATTTTGTGAATGAATCCACCATCACAAATATGTACTTATACTGTTTTCCAGTGGCATCCATGGGGCCTAGATGATCAACATGCAGCGTGTGAAGGGGTCACCTTTATCAATACAGCAATACAGCTTAAGAATCCTTCTTTCTTGCCAAGTTTTTTGTTGAAAATTATGCATCTCACACAGTTGTTCACCACCTGCTGAACCTTCTGTTCTAAGTGAGGAATCCAATACAATTGTTGAACAGCGTGAACAGTTTTCTGTAATGCAAAATGACCTGCACTGTGGGCGTCGACAATAACTTCTTTTTCCATCGCTTTCGGGATCACGAGGAGGTCGTTGCCTTTCACCTCCTTATAAACAAGTCCAGCTTTCATCTTGTAGCCCTCATATGGACAGCTGGTCAGAATTTCCATAATTGCCTTTAGCATCTCGTCTTTTCCTTGTGCGGCTTTGATCCGAGCTGTGATCTCCGAGGATACGAGCATCACACGGTCGGGATAGCGACTGAGACAGTCAACATGCTTCAACCGTTCTCCAGGGCGATGTTCCACTGTGAACTCGAAATCCTGTAGATAAACAATCCACTGCGTGACTTCTCTTGGCACATCCGCCTTCTGTAGGGTTTGCTTAAATGCAGAGCAATCCGTTACCAGCTTAAATGGCGATCCCAGCAGGTAATGTCTAAATTTCTTTACAGCTAGATAAACGGCCTTTGCTTCAAGGATATAACTGTGCTGACGGGACTCAGCTTCTGATGACTTCTTGCTCCAATATTGTACTGGATGGAGTCAGCCGTCGAACCACTGCATTAAGGCCGCTGCAAATCCATCTTTTGATGCATTCGTGTGTAACTCTGTTTTGGCCCCTCTGATATACAACTTTAAAACGGGTTCTTTCGTCAAGGCGTCCTTCAAACTTTGGAATGCGTTTATCTGCGGCTCGGCCATTCGAAAGAAAACATCTTTTCGCAGCAGGTCAGTCAATGGGCGTGAAATCTGCGAATAATTCAGTACGAATTTTCTGAAAAATCCAGTCAGCCCTAAAAACGCTTGAACCGCTCTGACGTTTTTCGGCATCGAAAATTTGCTGACCGCAGCTGTCTTTTCTTGTCCAGGCCATACGTCTCCGACCTCAATGTTGTGGCCTAAAAAATAAATCTTCTGCAAAAAGTGACATTTTCGCCACTTTATCTTCAGGCCAAACGCTCCAGCTGTGTTAAATACCAGTTTCATCTTCTCCAAACATTGCTCTGCAGTTTCGGCGTGAATTATTATGTCATCCATGTACAAGTCTAGTACATCCCTGTTCATAAGCTCTTGGAATACATAATTTACGTAACCCCGCTTTTTGCAGCTTTTGCAGAACGTCGTCGATAACCGGAACAGGAAAGCAGTCTCTCAACACCATTGAGTTCAGCTTGCGAAAATAAACGCAAATACGCCGTGTGCCATCCTTTTTGGTCACCAGTACAAGACGGATGGCAAAATTAGATGTAGATGGGCGAATGATTCCAGCATCTAACCATTCGTCGATCTGCTTTTGGACATCCTTCTCTTCGGCAATCGCAAATCTACTTGGGGATTGACGAAATGGGACGATTTCCACATCCGGGACGATTCGCAGCTTGATTGGGACTTCTGCTACCGAATCCGCCGCTTTGTAGTTCATGATCAGCTGAGACACCTCCTTAGCATACTGCGAAGGAACATCTATTTCATCATATGTATTAATTATGTTATAAATTTTCATCTGGTTTGGTTTCTTACAAGCTTTCTCCCCCAGCGGAGAAGAAAACTTGTATCCGTCGGCCGACAGCGAAAAGTCAAACTTCGAGACGAAATCGAATCCAAGCAGCGCGTCATACTCGATGTCCTCATCCTCAACTACGACGAACTTGTGTGGCGTCATTTCCTGGTCTACTGCAACCTCAGTCAAAAAGTAGCCAACTGGGCACGTAATCTTATTTCCCAGCCCACGAAGCTTGGACGCACATCTCTCCAAAATATCATTTGGTATTTTGTTGAAGATGTACTTGCGCAGAATAGATACATCGGCTCCCGTATCTACAAGACACTCCACTTCCACGTGATTGATGCTAACCATTTTCATACGACCTGCACTGCGTACGACTTGGACTCCAGCAACTGACCCAGGGCAATCTCTTGACATGTGCCCCTCTTGGTTGCAACTGAAGCATTTCACGGCAGACTTGCAATCCTTGCGGAGATGATCTACTGACCCACAATTGAAGCAGTGACTCTTCCTGTCGTTGAAATCGTGCTGCTTCCTCTGGTTCGACGCCCACTTTCCGTCGTTCTGCTTGTACGGCTTGTCGACCACGCGGTCGAACACCTCATACTGCTCCTGTAGCTCTTTGTAGGAGTTGCAACTGTAGAGAGAGTACCTGAAACCGCTCTTCATGTTTAGGCCGTCCACAACATAGCGGATAACCGAGCGTGCATCAATGTTGCCAAGTGAAGCAATCTTTTTCATCTGCAATAGGTATTCGTGAAAAGATTCCTGCTTGCGTTTCTTGCGATCGCGGAGCTGCTCATGCACATCAGCGCTGCACACATATTGTCGGCTGAACTCAGTCTCCAGCAGCACACGCATCTCTGAGTATTCGTGTACGTAAGTAGAATCCAAAAACAACTTTGCTGTGTTCGTCATTTTGGCACAAGCCTGCACATACATCTGTTTTATGTTTAGACCGTACGCCGCAGCATTTAGCTCAAAATTGTCAAACCAATTCTTTACCGGTATAGACTCTCCGTCAAACTCTGGAATGATCTTCGCAAAGCTTTCAGCCGTAATCGAGCAACTGTTGTTTCGCTCATCCGCTCCAATCTTAATAGCAAGCAGCTGAACCAAATCTTTCAGGGTTCTTGTATTTTCGTCGATAGAGCTGCTTTCAGTTAAACCGGCAGCTCCACTTTCCTCTTCGCTGATTTCGGAAGGTTCTTGCACTCCTTTAATTTCTTTTAGATTTCCATCTGCACTTATTTCGCAAACGCTTTTCGCCAGCTCACTCATGTTATTCATTTTGTCTGCTGCAGCCACTGATCTTGTGTAATACGGCTGTTTTCCTTTTGAAATTGGTATTCTCGAAGGTTCTTTCTTTATTTCCTTTTCGCTTACACTCATTCCCGTTACTGACTTTCCGGAAAGGCGGTGAGACTTCTCGGAACGGCGTCACTCGCAATTTTTGCGTTAGGACGAGCCCCCAAATGTAAGATGAGAAATACTCTCACTTGACGTTTATTATAATGATATATATTAAGTATTATGGTTAACAATAATAATTGCAGGATACTTTCCGCGTTTCGGCTTTTCTTAAAGTATCGTTCGGGTTTCTATTTTTCCACTCTGCTGCTGAATATCGACTCTCTCGGCTGACTGACTGTCACTTTCCGAATGAACTCGTCCGACTTTTACTGCTCTTGCTCTGCTTCTCTCCTCTCTTGTCGCTCTGCTTTTAATTCTGCTGGTTATCTTACTCAACCGTCTTATATACATATGTTTATATACGTAAGTGCGAAGTTAAAACAATATTAAGCATAAATGCAATAAATACCAAATTAATTTCAATAAATAATAAATAAGTTGTGCGGAAATACAATTAACATACATAAACATGTGCAAGCTGCAATTTACAATGTACATATGTACATATGTGCAGACATCATACATCAAATTAGCATACATACATATGTACATAAGCATGTGCAAGCTGCAATTTACAATGTACATAAATATGTACACATATATGTACATACATCAAATTAGTGCGAAAATAAAATTAAAATACATAAATATGTGCAATTTTACAATTTTATTATTTTATAAATATATCAAAGTTTTACTAATGTTTGTTCGAAAATAAATAAATAAAGAATTGCCTATAACCTTTTACGTATATTATTCGGTAAATAAGTAAACACGTGTATCACGATTTTGCCGAAAAAAACGACAATTTTTTATAAGTACCCGCAGCAATATATATCTCCAGCTTTAGTTATCCGATTGACTTAATTTCTTTTATACAAAATCAATAAATCAACAATTCAATATTGTAAAGCAAAAAATTTATCCAACTTATAAAAAAAGCGGTTGAAGGTGACAAACGTGGGCATGATTAATACATGTTAAAAAACTTTACATTTTTTTGGCAACAAAATTTAAAAACATTTTTATTTTTTTTAATTACAAAAAAATGATATCTTTTTAGATTTTTAAATATGTTATAAATATGTATATGAGTGATTCTTATTTTATTAATTTTCAGTTTATTTTATCAAAGCAGGTACTTACAAGGGTGGTCAAAAGTATTTTTACAAAACAAAAATATAACAACAAAAAAAACTTACTTCTTGTTAACTTTGGCATCAATAGAGGGGTAATTTAAATGCCGTTTGAATGATACAATACATTTCTTAATCCATTCAGAACTTATTGAAAAGGACGAGTTTGTGTGATAATCTACTATTTTAACTTTTTTCCTCGACTTGAAAACTTAAATTTTTTGATGCAAAAAGTTTCTTCAAACAAAAATTATAGTAACTGGAAGAAGAATTTTTCAAAAATCATTTTGCTTATATTTTTAATGATTTTTTGAAAATGCTTAGAAACATGCATTTGAGCCATATTTTTCTCTTTTTCATACAAAATTTTTTCGACATTGTCACCTTCAAAAAATCAAAGGAGGTGGACGAAAAGATTTACGGGAAAATGGAAAAATACGTAAGTTTCCAAAATCGAAGAGTTCACGGACAGACTTTAACAGCAATAAAAACTTACATTAAGATTCGGAAATAATACAAAACTATATTTTTTAAATCCAAAGTATACAACGCAACAATTTTATGGGGCTGGAATCTTCTCCTACATTGCGTTGTATACTTTGGATTTAAGAAATATATAATTTTGTATTATTTCCGAAAAATTTTCTAGCAATTTTTATATTTTTATTTCAGGTACCGCTCCTTAAATCCATTTTTGGTAAAAACTTAATTAAAAACTTGGACCAAATTTTAAGCCTGGATGTGATTTTACAACTAAACTACAGTGGGTCCAAACATAAATATAGACTCGCCAATTTCCACAACTTAAATTCAGTCCTGCAAGGTACGTCCATTTTTATGATTAAAAACTTGGTGACGTTTACTTTGTAATAAACAGTAGCCAATATTAGAAATAATATATTATATTATAAATATTAACCAAAGCTAATAATTTTAAATGTGTTTTTATCTTTGCAGAATCACAAAAACGGGAAGGATATTCCATGTTGGAATATATAAAAGACGTCCGGTTGGCCTTTATGCGCCAAAAAAATAAAATATATAAGGGGAAAAGCGCACTAAAGAAGGCCCACCCGGAGCCAGGAGCCGAACCGTACGATTCTGACTCTGAATAAAAATAAATAAATAAAAATATGAAATTGAAATCCAGTCTTATGTATGTATTCCTGGGGAAAACTTCCAGATATTTGATTTTTGAATGCTTCTAGGTGCATTAAAAAAGAGTACACCCAGAATGTGTTTAGTATGTTGCTTCCAGGTGCATTAAAAAAGAATACACCCAGAATGTGTTTAGTATGTTGCTTCCAGGTGCATTAAAAAAGAATACACCCAGAATGTGTTCAGTATGTTGCTTCCAGGTGCATTAAAAAAGAATACACCCAGAATGTGTTTAGTATGTTGCTTCCAGGTGCATTAAAAAAGAATACACCCAGAATGTGTTAAGTATGTTGCTTCCAGGTGCATTAAAAAAGAATACACCCAGAGGGTTGCTTCCAGGTGCATTAAAAAAGAGTACACCCAGAATGTGTTTAGTTTGTTACTTCCAGGTGCATTCCAGATATATGCTTCCAGAAGCATGCAACGGGTGCATTCTTTTTTGTCCCGCACCCGTGTAAATAGAATGGACAGACTCATCACTTCCGGAACACCTTTTTGATGCCATTTCATAATGAAAGAACGCATGCTGGAATGCTGTCATTTACGACTGGGAGAGAATTACACACATATCGTAATTGCTGGACTTTTCCTACCTATTCCTATTCTGACTGATCCGCCCTTCTCGCCTCCTTTGATGTTCTGGAGGTCCTGGTCACGCCCACCCTACCAATGGTCACTCTTACCCTCAGCGCTTAACAGCCTGAGCGACCCCTTTTTCCAAGTTCTATCCTACATCACAAGTCAACGCCCGTCGCGGCCAACAGATGCTTGCAGATATTAGGGTTTACGTCGGACATTTCAAATTTAAATTTTAATGAAATTTGTCAGACAAATTCGTCGACTGGCAAACAAAACGAAACTCAAAGCAAATAAAGAGCTTGGGATCCATGCGATCGAGCTTTTTAGTTCATGCTCTCCCGGTTCGTTCAGACGTTATCGTAATTTTTTTTTTGCTTGCTCTCTCGGCCGTCCCTTCTATTCTTTCCTTCTTACATCTCACCCTTCGATTTAATTCAATTCTTTCCTACTCCCTTTGTTTTTTTATGTAATAAATAGATAAAAATTTTAGCTCACCGCTGTTTTAAGTCTATCGACGAAAGCGTTCCCCTCGGGTCGATGAGAGGCTGTAAAGGGGGAAAAAACAGAAAAAAACGAAAATGGGGCAAGAACAAAAAAAAAAAAAAAATACACGCGGGGCTAGCTGAAGTATCGACCGCGGATTTATCGCATGCTCGGCTTTTTTTCCCTTTCCTTTTGACTTCTTTAGCCGCCCAATGCACTAACACACCCACACATTCACAAGCACAACCAAAAACTATTCTAACACTTAATTTACTTAAACTATTACTGTGTTTATGCGATGCCGTTTTCACGCTTTCATTTCGCGATTTCAGCCGATTCGTGTGTGCATAAACGCAATTTCGTGAATTCGGCAACACACGAAAGTTGACTATGAATTCAACCTGAAAGCGTGAAATGGTCACAATTAAACTCCGGTAACTCTATATAATTATCGGAGTTGCCAGACCGATATAAATACATAAATACACCTTACTTTTAACAAATTATTTTTTAATTCAGTGCCAATGGAAACTAGTTTTTATCTTTTATTTTGTTTGTAAAAAAATGTTATAAAAGCTTGCACACACTTTATCTTTAATACTAGCAAGATTAGTTCAAGTGAATCGAAAAAAATAATCGGTTTAATAATCGCTAACACCTTTTTCTACCGGTCCGGCATCTCTGTCAGCTGAGATTGATAAAATGCATGAATTCGGCCACGTCGCATAAACAGAAGCAAATTTTTTTTCACGCTTTCAAGAAATCATGAAACCCTTAGCATAAACATAGTATATGTTTCCACCGCCAACAAACTCGCGAAAGATGGCTTTAGGCCTTCCTCGGCTCGTACAGCTGGTGCAAAAAGCGTTTACTTTCGAATAAATTAATTATCGCTGCTGAATTCTCGTTTTCGGGGCGGAGCGCAACGAAGGCGACTTGCGTAGTTTAATTCGTGCGGAAGACTGAAAGCTCCCGCTTATTTGTAGCCCCGCCTCTCTTTGCCCTCAAAACCGATAGCAGCTGCTCTTATGGCTTAACTTAAGTTCTATTGTCGTAGGTCGGGACTTTTTTTGTAATTTTTAAAGCTGCGAGTATCTAAACTAGAATTCTCCTCTCTTTTTTTTTTTATGCGCGGCCTGTGTCGCCGCGGGTTATGGGGTCACAACTAGCTGGTTAAGATTTGGTCAGGTTAGGGTGAAATTTCATATGTAATGTTAATATATGTTTCCCAACGCTGACGCCGCCGATTTTTCAGCTTGGCCGCCGATTTTTCAGTTTGGCCCCCGATTTTCCAGTTTGACCGCCGATTTTCCTCGCTCGCGTTTGGCACCAAAATCAACATCCGCTTATTCTTTCCTTCCCCAGCGCCTTCTCGGGGACCTCCAGAATCGCTTCGAGCCGACCGCCTACAATAATTTCCGGCTAAACTAAACTGCCTAAACATTCCCTTTTCTTTCATAGACTCACCAGTCTTGGCACGATCCAACCGCAAATAAAAAGGATGGAAAGTTTTCCTTCGCAATAAATAGGTCACTCGCGAACTAAACTGAGGTTATCTACGTCCGTAACCTGCCGCTGCCGAAAATGAAAATAAAAACATCCGCCGCAGAATCTCTAGGGGCGCTTGAAATTTGCCGCTGTTACTCTCCTAGACCCACTAGCTACCTATAACCTCTTATTAGGATTGACATAGGTTGCTGTAATGATCTAGCACAATAAGATCCCAATATTACCACTTCTGGATCTTGGGTAAATTCCTAAGAAATCTATGTAAAGTTTCTGAAAGGCCCTCACTGACTCCGAAGCCTTTCCCATTGGAGGTCGCAACGCTTGGTTTGGGGCACATGACCTTATGTATTATTTTACATCTTTTACCAACCCTGGCCAGTAATAATATCGCTTTAACCTTTCCAATGTTTTGTGAACGCATCCATGCGACGCTAACGGATCATCATGCGCATTCTTAAGTAATACAGGCGCCAAGCCCGAGGGAATCCATAACTTAAAAAAAAAACTATCATGGATCGGCTCCCCAGATGTGTGTTCAGTTTTATGAAACGCAAATCCATCGGCTGATTTTAAATCAGGGAGAATGCTGGCATTATCTTTAACCCTTTCGATCAGATCTAAATAGTCCGGATCTTTGAACTGGGAAGATTCTAAATCTACAAGCAATCCGTGCCTGGCCTCTAATGCAGCGACTTCTTCTTCGTTGACCCTCGATAAGGCACCAGGAACAAGATTGAGCTTGCCACTGCGATGCTCGATTTTAAAGTTGAAACTTTGAAGTTTCAATGCCCACCTTGCCAGTCTGGAATGCAAATCTGTCTGCGTCATCAACCATTTAAGCGACGCGTGATCGGTAATCACCGTGGATTCGTGACCCTCAAAATAGGCACGAAACCTCTTGATGACCGAGTAGTTTCTCTGAGCCTTATTGAGTTTCTTCGACACAAAGGCAATTGGACACTTTTCGCCCCTCTCAACCACTCTGAACCAAGACACCCGCTACTTCAGTGTTGCTGGCATCACAATGGATGTAAAAGGGCTTGCTTAAATCTAAGCTAAGCAGAACGGGAGCCGAGCAAAGCATTTACTTATAAATTTCCGCCACCAACCGACCATGCTTTCAGAGTTTTTGGCACTGAAAAATTCGTCATGGCCGAAATTTTATCAGGGTCTGTACGCACTACGCCTACCCAACTATATGGCCTAAATATTTGACACTTTTCATGCCAAAATTGCTCTTTTCTACATTCAATGTCAAACCTGCTGCTCGAATGCAGCTTGCAATAGAACTAAAAACCTTCGAGTGACTGTCGAAGCTATCTGAGACGATAAGCAAATCGTCCAAATGAACAAGAACCTCGTTGCTAGGCTCAACAAATATTACCTTATCCATCAGCCTACTCATCGTTTGGGAAGCGTTCGTAAGCCCAAATGGCATTACTTTATACTGATATAACGGTTTACCAGGTATGGTAAGTGCAGTTTTGTCACGTGACTGAGGCTCTAAGGGCATTTGCCAATAAGCATCTTTAAGGTCGAGGCTAGAAATCTTGTTCGCCTTGGAAAGCCGACTGAGAATTCCATCAATTTGCGGCAAAGGATATGCATTCTCTCTAGTTCTCTCATTGACTTTTCGGCTATCAAGACAAAGACGAACCTTTCCTGGCTTCTGCACCAGCACGACCGGTGAAGACCAAGGACTATCGGACTCCTCAATTACCCCAAGTTTAAGCGTACGGTCTACCTCTTCATATAACAAAAGACTTGTTTTTCCTAAAACAGAGACCGCGAAGGAAGGGAACTTGTCAATTACGGCTTGCAACTGGATTCTTTGACCATCAGTTAGAATGTAAGAATCACAAGTCAATTCCGCAACCCGCATAGCCGGTGGCAATAGCTAAAAAGAGGACCAAAAATCAATGCCCAAATAGAGGTCTTGACTGAGCGAGGGCAAAAAACTTACATCTCGAAATCCTTTGTTCTTCCTTCGTACTCTACTGGTGTTTTTAAACGTCCTATCAAATTTTACCTTTGCCCATCTGCTGTGTTTACTGTACTTGCACCCCTCTTGAACGGAACTCGAGCTTTAATTATTTGCTCGGCCAACTTTCCGCCTATAGCGCTTAGGGATGCCCCCGTATCTAAAAGTCCTATTACAACTCTGTCAAGCAATCGAACCTCTGCATAGGGCCGTCTGTCCAAGCTCTTATAGAGGATTACATATAAGACTTTAGCTGACTGCCAATACCCTTTGATTCTTTTTGCATTTCGAGAAAGTTTCTTTGTAGGTCTAATTTTAATACTTGGAAATGCTGTGTTTCTTATAAGTTGCGGCCAAAAAACTGGTGGCTTTCCCTCAATCCCTGGTCCATAATCGTTTATTTTATTTATTTTATTTATATTTTGGTTTTGGGACAATTGCAAATTGCCACCAACCACTTATTCTAGCTATAGCTACTGGGCCTTAAGCTAGGAGGATGTTATTTACATATTTTCAGAAAAAGTGTATTTATATATAGTTATTAAGAAAATTTATATATAGTTATATAAGCGTATGGCCTTGGTAAAATTATTGGCGCTGACGATATTGATGGATTTTGGGGATAGGCCATCAGGAGAGGGTGTTGCTTCTTGAAGTTATATGGATTGGACACTCTTGGAAAAAGTGCCGCACGTTGTTTCGCGTACCGCAGTGCTCGCACTGGGGTGGGGGTTGTTTATTGAGAACATGCTCATGGGTGTATCTTGTATGTCCAAAACGTAGTCTTAAGAATTTTGTAAGATCTCTGCGGTTGATGTTGTCTTCAGATGAAATGGTATAATCTTTAATTGAAAATTTTGTTTCGTTGAAATATTTGTAGTGGTTAGATGCGTTTTGCCAGATCGAT